TTATTATTACTACTACTACTACTACTACTACTACTACTACTACTACTACTATTACTATTACTATTACTATTACTATTACTATTACTATTATTATAATATATGAAACAAACCAACGGGCAACTTAAGAAAGAAAACTTGGTCACAAACCATTCTTAAGAGTGAATTACAACACACTCTTGTGGGTAATGCAGTCAAATAGGGATGAGGGCATGTTGATCCGTCCAGATGGAGAGAATTCCATAATTCCTCACTATTGGCTATGCTGCCTAGCAGTTGCAATCCATCTGGACAGACGGTACTCAGAATTTAATAATATTTCTCAGGCAAATCTTGCTTACACAGGACATGCACAGTACTGTTAGTTTATTATAATTCTGGCTGATTAAGCATAAAAGTAGGTAGATGGCATTAATCTTTTTTTTAAATATGCATTTTTCCTCCAATGAGAGGAATGTCAGATCTTGAAGATATAATTGGAAAGCATGATTGAGCATGAAACAAACCCGTACAGTATAATAGATGTAAAGAGTAGCATAGAAAGGAGCAATACTCAGTTGAAAGTTTCTTGCTCTCTCTCCTGTTGTAAGTTTTGCAGTTACAGACTCAGTCTTTCTCGCTGACTCAGTCCATAGATCAAAATATGGAAATAGTCTTATGCTTTTAAAAACCTGGTTATAATTGGTCACTTTTTCAAGTGTGTACTTTCAGCATGTTGGTTTTGGATAACTTCTGCAAACCTATCTAACATATATGTAAATCCTTTGTACTCACCTCTTAATAGAAGGCAGAGAAATTTATGTGAATACCATTGCAGCTAGGATTCAGGGAGATATGCAAAAGGAGTATTCTATAAAACTGATCTTCAATTATCTCTGCAGTCATTAAAGTGCTCTGAAATGGTGGTTAATTGATCAACAGCTCCCATAAAGATATTGAAGGCAGAGATTACTAGGTTTCCTCCTTTACTGAAGAAAAAGTTTAAAGATTTAGATAATATTCAGTAAGGTGTCCCACACATTGTAGCTAGTTTAGAACAAGCTTTGATAAAAACTAGGTGAACTTGTCTATGATAACTAGCTTTTAATTTAATTATGTTTTAATGTTTAACTTTATATTTCAGGTGATAAGATTATAAAGCTGCAGACAAGATTATGATCACTGATGTGGCAATTATGTTTCAAAACTTTTATTGTAAAACTAAATATTTTACATAAAAATGTGCAAATATATTAATTTCATGTAAATTATGACTATTTAATATTTTATATATACTCTCCCTTACACACACACATCAAACTTTCATTTGTATTTTATATTTCTATATAAATTATTCTGTATTTTATATTATATCATCTAATTGTCTGAAATTGTGTAAGTATGCATGTCATCACCTATATGAATGTATATTGTGCCAGTCTCCCCTTCTGGGGGCACTTTGTTGCTGTCCAGTTTTCTCAAGACTACATAGGCTGGTTCTTCTTTCAGGATGCAAAGTAGAGAATTGAACTCCCAACCTATATCCCACTACAGCCAGATATGCCAGGTTACATACAGATGCTTCTCCATTTATTTTACAATAGCTGCTTTGAAACAAAATAGAAATTATATGTAAGTGGTGATTTAGGACAGTGGTGGACACATTCTATCTAATTTGGCTGTCAGGCTAATATTCTCAAACATGGAGAATAAGCATATGACTTATATGGTTCTACATAATGCCTCAGTGTGGAGATCCTAGAACTTCCATCTTTTGTGGAGAGCAGAACAAAGATATACAACATACCACTGGAATCAGCTCATAGAATCATAGAAAAGTGAAGTTGGAAGGGGCCTACAAGGCCATCAAGTCCAACCCCTGCTCAGTGCAGGAATACAATCAAAGCATATCTGCCAGGTGATTATCTAAGTTTTTCTTGAATGCCTCCAGTGTTGGAGCACCACCAACTCTTGAGGTAACTGGTTCCACTGTCGTACTGCTCTAACAGTTATGGAGTACTGCTCTAACACTGTCGTACTGCTCTAACTGTTAGAGCAGTTATTTCCTAACTGTAATATTTCTGCACTGATTTTTAAAAATCATTTTTATTTTTAAATTTATACTCAGTGATGAAGAACCTTAGGTCGAACAGATAGACAAAGTACCTGGACACAAACATCAAATACTCATTTTTAAGGCTTTACGGGAACAGTGCAGTCATTAAAGTGCCTTAGGAAAATAAAATCAGGGAATTCTTATCTACAGGAGTAAGGAAACTGGAATTGCTGAGCTAGCTAACCTGACTGAGTTGAAGATTAATGCTGAAATATGTATAATTCTGTAATGCCTACTGGTCAAGATTACAAGGCAGGAAGGTAATAATAGGGATTCAGCCTAAGCGTCTGCTCAGGTAGTGAGTGTTTTCTCCTTGATGGGACAAGCTATATACACACTTTTGTTGTTTGCAATCTTGACAAATTTTCCTGAACAGTTCCTAAGAGTTCTAGAGAAAAGTCATTTGGAGCTTTTGTAAATTTGCTTCTAGTGGAAAGAATTTAAATAAAAATAGATTAAATTCTGAGGGAACAGCAAAAGGCTTGCTGAGACATCAATTTTTGTGTGTGAATAATACAAGTTGAAATAAAATTGAAGTTTTTGGGTTCAACTCTGGTATTTCAGGATGTTCATTTGTGTTATTAGTAACAAATGTTCCTGATACTAAGATATGATTTTATTTACTTTTTCTTTATTGTCTTGTTTCTTTACAGGAATCAGAGAGTAATAAGTTATGTTCCTTATATTCCTTCCGAAATACTTCTACCTCACCACATAAGCCTGAAGAAGGAGGTCGTGACCGCTGCGAGCTAATGACCAGTGTTAATTTCGGAACTCCAGAACGCCGCAAAGGAAGCCTTGCCGATGTGGTGGACACACTGAAGCAGAAGAAACTAGAGGAAATGACCAGAACTGAACAAGAGGGTATGTGTTACCTAAGCATGCAGTAATATATTTTCTTTTAGTAGATTCATCCCTCAGGTAAAATACTGCATCTTAAAACCATACCTTGTAACGTGGTGAATCTACATTTGAGGCTCTAGTGTTTACAGAACTACCAGTGAATGTTGTTATGGTATGTTTATCTGGGGTGGGGAGAGAGACAGACACGTGGAAACAAACTCCCCCCCCCAAAAACCCTGCAGCAAGCTTTATTTGGCATAGGAATCCATAGAGTACAATTCA